GGAAGCATTTGACAAGTACAATGACAACTATACTAAGTATAATCGAAGTTTAAATCTCTAAGGCCCTCAATCTAGAGCATCATTACATTATAGTTAATCCGTTCATTTGGTATCAATTCATCATTTTTTTACTACGGTCTAGAGCCCAGCTCATAATCACCGTTATCTACTACGGTCTAGAGCCCAGCTCATAATCACCATCATCTACTACGGTCTAGAGCCCAGCTCATAATCACCGTCATCTACTACGGTCTAGAGGCCAGCTCATAATCACCGTCATCTACTACGGTCTAGAGCCCAGCTCATAATCACCGTTATCTACATCGGTCTTGAGCCCGGATCATAATCACCGATTCTTTATAATTCAAATTCTTAGGATCTAATTCATCCATTTCTCAACTAACATTTCCAACTAATATTTCAATGCTAGTTACTTATTTATTTCAATATAATTCTTTCTTCATGCATGATTTGCCTTAATATCAAGTATCACTTTCATACCTTCATGGCTTCTCCTCATGGTATCAAGTATACTATCTCAAATGAAAATTCATGGTTGGTACAACCATCATACACACATAATCATAACATCTAAACATACACAATTTATTCATAAATTTGTGTGTCATGCATACTATACTTAAAATCAATAGTAGTTTTATTTAGGCATTAATAACCATTAACAACCCATGCACATCACATTTGTATTCACTTAGGAATCCCATGAGATTAACCCAAAGATTATAAGCAACATAGTCGGTCATCCTCACCTCAATTAAGCTTAAGCGCGTTCTACGTTCCTCGATTGAACTTTGACCAACTCCGGCGAACTTTGACCAACTCCGGCGAACATTGACCAACTCCGGCGAACTTTGACCAACTCCGACGAAACTCTGGCGAAGCTCAAAAATACTTTAAATCAAGTTCCTAACAAGGTTTTATCATCACAAAACCCATATTAACAAAAATAACCTATAAAAGGTTATTTTCCGGCAAACTGGTCGATTTGGCTTCTAAGTCTGTTTTTGGACATAGAACCACTTCCCAACCCATAAATCCATACTTAGATCATGGAGAACCATCCCAAGGGTTCTCCCTATAATAATTATGCCTCATGGTAGAAGAAAAATAAAGGGAAAGCTATGGCAAGGTGATTACCTCAATTTTCCACACTTTCATATACTTTTTCCTTCTCCAAGCACTCCTCTTTGGATCCTCTTTCTTGAGCTCGAATTTGGGTGTGAAAATGAGAAGTTTCAGAGCCCCTCCTTGCTATCCTAGGGTGCTGAATCGTGTGGGTGGAGATGGTGAGGTGAGAGGGGTGGTTTTTGTCTCATTTAGACAAATGAGTGAAGGGAGGGGGTCTACTACATGTCAAAGGTGTCTCCCCCATCCTCTCAATTGTTGTTCAGCCAACTTGGCACTCATCCAGCCCTCAAGGGTTGACAAATTCGTGGGGTGGCCCCCACCCATGTGGGAGGTCATCCTAATTTGTCCCAAAGTGTGCAATTTGCCCCGAAAGTTGTATTTTCCGGACTGTTTTAAGTATATTTTATTTTATCGGGTCAAATAAAATATAACAGTTGTTCCCAATTCTTAATGGATCTTAGAATCAATATGCATTCCTCAACTTTGATTTAGAAGTCTCCGAAATCCCTTTTCGGGCTGTTATCTGATAGATAGCCGATACTGATAATTTGGCCCCGTTTGACCAACCGGTCAACCCTATGCCATTGTCATGGCTCAACTAGGATATCCACCACCATATACATATTATCTAGTCCAAGATCAATATAATATGTGGCCCCGATAATATCGGGCGGTCCCCACTCTCGATGTGGGCCCCACGTGCATTTTACTATTCACGCGAAAACATTAATACAAATTCACAACTTCGTAAATTCACTAAAAATTTCATAGGGTTCAATAATTTATTCGCTTAAAGATAAATACATTTGGGGACGGTGTTACAGGCAAAATGGCACCAAAATTCGAAGGTCCCTACATCATAGCAGCCATCATCAAACCCGGGACTTACAAGCTCAAACGCCCCAACGGGAAAGAGGTCCCTAGGCACTGGAATGTACACCACTTAGTTAAATTTTATCAATAATGTAAAAGCGGCTAAGCCCTCCTAACTAGTGAATGTACTATCCTATGGCCCATGGCCTCCAATTTTTAAGAATGAAGACACATTCAAGACACCAAGAACAACCGCAAAACACTTATGAGCAGCCAAGCCCTCATACCAACTACAGGTCCCAGGCCTAACCACGAGAAGAACCCCCTCCGACACCAAGTGCCAAGGGCGGACACCATGAACACTTTCAACAACAGTGAAAACACCAAGTGTTTCAAACAAGACCCCTCGGTACCAAGTGCCGAAGGTGGGGACTCCCATCACCGGCAACAGGAAACACCAAGTGTTTCATTTCAAGACCCTTCGGCACCCAGTGCCGGGGGTACACATCTCCACCATCAACATCAAAGAGAAGAACACCAACTGTTCCTACAGAAGACCCTTCGGCACCCAGTGCTAGGGGTACACATCTCCACCATCAACATCAAGGATAAGAATACCAAGTGTTCCTACAGAAGACCCTTCGGCACCCAGTGCCGGGGGTACACATCTCCACCACCAACATCAAAGAGAAGAACACCAAGTGTTCCTACAGAAGACCCTTCGGCACCCAGTGCCAGGGGTACACATCTCCACCATCAACATCAAGGATAAGAACACCAAGTGTTCCTACAGAAGACCCCTCGGTACCAAGTACCGGGGGTACACAACTCACCCATCAACGTCAAATAGAAGAACACTAAGTGTCCCTACAGAAGACCCCTCGTTACCAAGTACCGGGGGGCTACATATCGAAACTAACACCAAGTGTTGTTTCTAAAGTCGTACCCCACGAGGACGCATATACCGAAGGCGCCACCATCGGTGCCGGCGGCACGTAGTGCCCCCGGCCATTTGCAGTTAGTGTGCAAATGAAAACCCTTCCTTGAAACGCTTTCCGCGTCACTACCCCCAAGGTATGACAAGCATGAGAAATGCCCAGGATTCGACTTTCAAAAACGGAATGCTTTCCGCGTCATCACCCCAAGGGTATGACAGGCACGAGAAATGCCCAGGATTCGACTTCCAAACCAAAATGCTCCCCGCGCCACTACCCCAAGGATGTGGCAGGCCACAGACTATGTCTAGCACCGAGGGGACGACTTTCAAAAATGAGGCGCTTTCCGCGCCATCCCCCAAGGGGAGGCAGGTTACAGACCACCATATCTTGTGCCCAGGAAACGACCCTCGATCCCCTCGGAACTCGGAAGGTTAACCCGAGGGAGGAGAGCCATTGGTGTATTCTGATGGTCTCCTGATAGGCCCAGCCTTACCAAGAAACCTAGTTTCTTGATGCCTTCCATTCACCACCAACCAAAAAAAAAAACAGAGGGGGTGAAGGGGAGTAGACTCATCGAGAAATCAATGAGTACAACACTCCAACAAATCACAGCATACCGAGGGCTCCCTATGGGAACACCTCCGGTAACTGAAGGCTCCTATGTTCCGAAGGTTACTACTCAACAATACAAAGGGATTAGACTGTCTCAAGGACATTAAACGACTAAGCTCACCTCAAATAAGTGCCGAGGGCACCTACCATCAGTCATCCATTGCTACCGAAGGGGTCCTCCCGTAAAAGGGGATACGACTGACTAAGGCAACTCAACAACCCTTCAAGTGAGTGTCGAGGGCACCTATGTCCCACCAGCATTCACTACAACATCAATATCCTACAAATTTTCCTAAGTCAACACTTTTGAAAAATGACAACAGCCGGAGGCTCACATATCACCCAACGACCGAAGGCATCTATTACAAATCATCAAAAACCAACCAAGGGGGATTATTCCAAAATAATGTCGCCCTCGGGAAATCTTAAGTGGGAAACACTACTAACCGAAGGCTACACAAGGAAGCAACACTTAGAAATTTTTCTAAGTGCTGAAGATTGAGCCCCCAGCCTGATCAATATTTCAACTAGAGGAACCATGATAGCCGAAGGCTACGTGATGCAACAGCGCTCAGAAAAATTTTCTAAGTCCTACATATTTTGGCCCTCGGTCAAATCTCCATGCTACCCGAGGGGACATGCGGTTGAAGACTTGGTGAAGCTGTACTTAGAATTTTTTTACTAAGTCCTACATACTTTAACCCTCAATCAAATCTCCATGCTGACCGAGGGCTCCTACTACATACGTACTACACTTAGAAAAATTTCTAAGTCCCAAAAGATCTCACCCTCGGTGACAAGTGTCTAAGTCCCGAATTTCCCTGCAACCCGAGGGGTCACACGATTGAAGGCTTGGTGAGACTACACTTAGAAAAATTTTCTAAGTCCTGACTATTGCTAGGCCCTTGGTCACACATCTAGCAAGGGGTGCCCAACTACCGAAGGCTATGACTGTATTCAAACACTTAGAAGAATTCTCTAAGTCCTAAGCACCTCACCTCCGGCCATCGCACGAAGGCTACACGGAACCAGAAGGGAAGATCAGCCGGGGGCCAACAGATGAACACACACTTGGAAATATTCCTAAGTCCTGAACATTGCGCCCCCGGTAAAACGTTAAAGTAACTAAAGGTTACTAGTAACCGAGGGCTACAAGAAGCACCGCACATGGAAGGAAATATTCTAAGTCCTAAACATACATTTAAAGGAACAAAGGCATACATTCAAAACGAGACGAAGGCATACATTCAAAAGAAAAGAAGGACAACACATTCATATACAGAAGCCCGAAGGCTAACATTCATCCATCAATCATCAAAAGGAAAGTCAGTGTAACTATTACATACGGGCCAAAGCCGAGGGGTGACAAAGGTTCATTACAAAGATTTTTCAAAAATCAGCTAAGTACAAATTAAGATTTATCAGCAACTTCATCGACGGTCCCTGCGGCAGGTTTGGAGGAGATTTCTTCTTCGACGGCATTGTCCCCGACGGCAGCACCATCATCTTCGCCGCTCATCATCATAGAATCATGAATCACCGGGCGCTCGTCGCCCTCGGGGAGGGGGGCTCTCACATCTGGCTGCAATGGGGGAAGGTCATACACCGAGGGGTCAAACTCCTCCAGGGAGGTGCCGAAATGCCGGGCGAGCCTCCGGTAAACCAGATGCTGGGTGAAGAACTCATCGGCTTGATAATAGGTGTCGCCCCTCTCGTTCATCCAGTCGAGCCCGGGGCCTTTCACCCACTCCTCGATCGAGGCCTTCACCACGGAAGCCACCCACTCCCTCTGGCCCTCGGCCTTCCAACCCTCGGAGATGAACCCAGCGATGGCCTCTTCTCGGGCTTTGACGACAGCCCGGGCTTATGATTCCTCAGCCGCTTGCTTCCTCTCCTCGGCCGCAACCCTCTCGGCCTCTGCCTTGCCCTCGGCCTTGCCGTCATCTCTGGCCTTCTTCAGCTTCAGCTCCGCTTGCCGAAGGGCATCCTCCAGCTTGCACACCGCCCGGAGGCAAACGTCCTTGTCATGGATCAGCTCCTTCACGGACTCCTCTAGCTCGGCCTTATGACGGCGCCACTCCTCGCGCCTTCGGGCCTGCTCACCGAGGGCTATACACGCCTGTTAAACAACGGACAATGGGTTCACACGGGCGTTGAGAATATACTAAGTGTTAAGATAAAAGCAAAGTAAAAATACTTACAGCCAGAGACGATCGAAGGGCCTTGCTCTCGAGGGCGTCGTCGTCGTAGGTGGAGAGGGCTTGCTTATCCATCATCGAGGTAATCCCCCTCAGGATAGACATCGGTTCAGCTGAACCGTGCAGCACAGATGCCCCCGGGGCGAGGGAGAGCTGAAGAATCTCCCGAGGCAAGTCCTCCGGGGGAAGATCTGTCTGAGCCATCGGAGTGTCAACGGCCGGGGAGTCAGCGGAGGGTTGCTCATCAATTACTATGGGGGGGGGGCACCATTCCAACGGTGCCCCCGGCAACCTTCTGTTTCTTGATCGGGGGCTCCACCCCCTTGCCTCCCTTCTTCTTCTGGGCGGCCACCTCGACCTTCGGCCCCCCGGCCTCAGTAGCAAGGGCAACATCAGCAGAAGGCTCCACAACCTCCTTCGGGAAGACCTCATCAATGGGCTTTTGGCCCGAGGGCTCCTTTTTCTCCTTCTTCTTGACCTGAGCCCTCTCCTTCTTCTTTTTCATGGCAAAGAGAGCCTCCATACCTGCAAAACAATGAAGAGAAAAGATTAACCCGAAGGATCCATACAACAGACAACTATCGGGACGCAAAATAAAAATGCCTAAGTACAACAACTAAGGGCCCTCGGCTAGTACCTCCAGCCCCTCGAAGGGTCTGTCCAGCTTGGGGTACTTCTCATCTGCCTCCCCAATGTACCGATACCGTTGGAACCCGAGGGCATGCAAGCCATCCTCGAGAGTACATTCTTTGATCGTCACGATCTTCTTCTTGCCCTCCGGGATTTTGGCGAGTTTCAGGCCATCCTTCTCTAGGGCGATACTCCCCACCTTCTCGTGGCGCCGAAAGCGGTCCCGTAGCTCCCTCGGGAAGGGGTTCTCGGCCAACCAGACATAGCACCATTTGTCTTTCCAGCCCTTGTTGGACGAGGGTGCCTCGGTGAACAACTTGAACTTCGCTATCTGCTGCAAATTAGCGAAACCTTCGGCATTCGCGTGCCCCCCTCGGCAAAAGTTGAAGCTTTGGAAGAAGAGGTCCAAGCTTGGGGTAACATCCCTCGTCCGGCATAGGTGCAAAAAGCCAACAATATATGAATGGCTGTTGGGGGTAAGTTGGCAAGGGACAAGTCCAACGAACCTGAGGTACTCCCGGAGAAATGGGTGCAGGGGGAACCGGAGGCCCATTGACACCGACAGGATGTGGACGGCAATACATCCCTCGGGTGGCCGGGACAACAAATCATCGACGCCTGGCTCCACCACTTCGGCCGAGGGCCCAACGTGCAGCCGCGTGATGTACAAGTCCGCCTTGTCCGCCTTCGACTTGATATCGAGGGCCTCGGTATTTAGCCAGGTATACCCCTCGGGCATTTCAACCGGCCCCCCAGCACCAGCGGCAACACCTTTCTTCTTGGGGGCAGCCCTCCTCGACTTCATCTTCCTCTTCTTTCCGGGGGCCATCCTCATAGGCGTCGGGTCCAACGGCCTGGAAGTACTAGGCTCACCACAATCATTCCGAGGGGGTGGCACAGCAACGGTAACCGTCATCGCTTCCTTTTGAGCTTCGTCCTCCGCCACCTGGAACGCAAGGGCTAATTCTTCACCTTCGCACTCCTGTTCGAAGCCCTCGGCTTCCACTTCAGCAACAAGGGCCTTCTGCAACTCCAAGGCTACAGCTTCGTCATCGGCAACCGAGGGCGCACTGCTAGTTGACTCTACATCAGAAGCAACCTCGTCCTCAACCGAGGGCTCCCTTGAGGTATTCTGCGAGTCACTTTGGGACGACATCCTTGGTGTACTTAAGCTAAGACTCCTAAACCGAGGGTTCTCTACAAAGCTCTAACACCTAATCTAAGGCCAGGGAGCAAAAGCTTACGAAAAACGGTGAGGAACGAAGGAAGAACTGACCTCTAGAAGTTGCTGTGATCGAAGGTTATTTTCTCTCTCTAGAAAATTTTCGGCAAAACTTCGCTAAGACAAATGATCGCGCAAGAAGAAATGACTCTGGCTCCGGGGTATTTATAGGCCCCGGAATCCGGGCTTGGGCCTGAAAACCGGGCCCCCGGCTATAAGTCATCATTACTTGCCGTCGTTTCACCCAACCAGTAACGCCGCCCACGGACAGCCAACCATCACGCACCACGTGTACCCCCCCCAACGACTATATCCTGACGTTACATATTCCAACGACTATATTTCCAACGGCTATATTCTGGGAGCCCCCGGGTTTTTACTTCACTTCACTCCATCAGGAAGAGCCTCCAGGTACACTTACCCAGGGGCGCCCCCAGGTTGTGCCCCACACAGTACATAACAGATGCCTTCGGGATCACTCCTTCAGAAGCCCAAGGCTTCATATCAGGCCACCCCTCGGGGATTCCCCCTCAGCACTGTAAGCGCCCGGTAGCCCCCGGGGAGTATGCCTCATTGACGGATTGCTTACGGCACACATGTAAGGGAAGCCCTCAGATATCCTCATCACCAACTAATCAACAAGCAGGGGACACCCCGGTAACAATTCATCTACTGCCCTCATCCATCACGCCCTCGGTCCCCAGATTGGGGGGCTCCCCTTCGGCACCCCCAGGACATCAACAACAAGCCTCCGGCTATTCAACACATGAGCCCTCAGAACAAGGAGAGCCTTCAGCATTACCCTTTTTCTCCATTTTGATCCAAGGTTTCACATTTTCGATTCATCGTTGGGGGAATTTAGTGCACTCTTTTTCCCTCATTAGGATTTTTTCCCCCAGGGTTTTTCCTGATGAGGTTTTTAACGAGGCATCCCCCCAAAATGAAACGAAAAGCGTCAGCCTTCGGCCCACAACAGCAGCACAACTACTCTACTCCTTTTCACCACTTTACAAGTGCCTCAAGGAGTGGGGGACCGGAGGACCCCCTCGGGAAAATCATTAAATTACAAAATGGTGAAAAATTCCAACAAACGGCAAAGCAATCCCTCAAGTCCCGACATGTGGGTAACTGAGGGACTGCCTTCGGCAGGGACATGAAAGCAACGACTCCTCACCAACTTCAGAGATTACAACGGGACAACATCAAAGGGCAAGCACAAATTACTCCTTTTCCCTCAAGTACCTTTCGGCAAAAGGAGTGAGGGACTCCTGATGGAGTATATGGCCCGGGAACCCCCGGCCCACAGACTCCTGCTACACCAATAAAGGCCCAACCGGCCCAGGAAGCACAGCAGGCCCCAAATTACGGCACCCCAAGCACTTAGCAGCCCACAGCGCACACTGGGGAGCCTTCGGCCCCCTGGCCGAAGGCTCAAAACTCTCACAGAACAGGTTTTTCAAGCAAACTAAGAAACTGGGAGAAAAACGACAGAAAACAGTAGCCCTCGGCACCTGGAGCCCTCGGCACCCAGGGGGTCCCCAGCACTCAGAGCCCTCGGCTAGTCCTCTGCAGCCGAGGGCACCTCTCCCGACATAATATCCGCGCCACATATGTATAGATCACCGTACCCTGTACAACGTCCCATCCAACAGCCGCATTAAATGCGGCCACATGCGGCTGCCAGCGCCAACCAGTTGAGGTGACCTCTCGGCCAATGGGCGCTTGACACGTGTCCGTGTCCGGCATTTATTGCTACTATAAATAGCACCCCATTTCCCCATTTGTAACCACGCTGAAAACGCTCCACACTTATAGTATACTTTCTCTCTCTATATTTACTTGCTCTGGCCTCTCTCTTATTACTTCCCGTAATAACCCCTCGGATAAGCTACCCCCGGGTACACTATCCATCAATACGATTTGGACCTTTATTTGAAATGAATATTGAGTTTAGCCAAGAAAAGTAAGGATTCTCCACCGAACAGGAAACAAACAACTATGTATCACATTTTTTGTTTAAGAATCAGCAATTGAATAATTAGACATTTTCATGGATTACCTGTCAAAACTCTTGCGGCATTCATTGATACTCATGTACACTAGCTTACCTGCCAACAAAAAAGAAATATTAGCAATAAAAACGCAATCCATTTGGGTTACTGATTATCACTCATAAATCTTAAACATAATACATACAAATTTAATCAGAAATACATGCTCAAAAATTAACGAAATTAAAATTCAATTACTAGACTAATTATGAGTGATTTGGGATCAAATATAACACAAATATACGTGGAATATAAGCATGCCTTCACGCCCCGGACCTATCCGGACACGTCAACAATCCGCCGTACAATATGAATAGTCAACCGCAGTCCAACTCATCCATATTATACAAGGCGTCTCGAATATCATTCACACATAAGTCATCCATAAATATACATAATAAGTAATTGAATACGCAGCGGAAATCATAGTTTGGATACAAGTGCCACACGGGGCAAACACGAGCACGCATGCTCCATAATGAAAAAAAACAATATCCATGAGCATGTTTTAAAAATGTTTAAAATCAGAATGGAGGAAGCACGAACCAAGTCTTCCCCTCCGAGATGATCGCCCGATCAACAAGCACAGGTAGCAAGCTCTAGCCTCAACCTGAAATGGTGGTGAGACCCCCCCCCCCAGAAAGGGGTCAGTACTCTATACGGCTATAAAGTACTGGTGTGGATGGCATCTAATAGATATACAACAAGTATTTCAAACACAAGACCCTCAAATAGGGTGATAGTATAATCTAGGCCGTAACCCCATGTTACCCCTTTTCAAAATATACTTACTTTATATATAAAGTCAAGTAGTCGGCCCATGACCCAAGGTTCGTTTGCAAAACATAACCTAAACCCCGTGACCCCTAGTCACGACAATACATAGGGTTCAACCCTAACACACATGTTTGCATTTCTCGAGTCCAACTCGACTACATCACCATGCACATCAATTACAAGTCAATTACTCCACCAATCTCCGACGTCATGTTCACCCATGCAATTCTAGAGCATCGGGCTCAAGTACATCTCCTTACATGGGCTGAACCAAATCCTTATGTCTACCCAATGCAATTCTAGAGCATCGGGCTCAAGTACATCTCCTTGCATTGGCATAGACCCCAATTCCTAAGCACTCGCTATGCCTAGAATTGTAATATCAATAATCTATTTCGGGACATCCTTACGGACTGCCTCATCATGATCTTAGCATCACATTACAACAATTTACTCACTTGAACCACAATCAAGTATATCACTTACAATCAAATCCTTAGATTCAATTTCTTACAATTACAAACAATCATTAACTAGTACTCCAATACTATTAAGATTATTCCCATCAATCATATATTTCATTTGTAAATCCCTACATATTTAAAAATATGTAGCAGCAACTTATTCATCCGATGTAATACATAAATAATCATTTATGTATCTACACCATTCACACATGAGTAAAAATGCCTATTTCACACAATAGTTCATTTAACTCCATTTTTATCAATATGATTTCCAAATCATTTGCAATTTCATTACTTATCTAATATATCAATATTTCATCAATAATCAGTCATAATAATCCATGAAAAACATGATTTAAGCATTTAGGTAATCTCATGCTTAACCTACAAGTTGTAAGCAACTAGATGTTGATCCTCACCTTAAATGAGCTTTAAATTTCTCCTTCTTGATCCAATGGTCAAAGCTTCGGCCAAGGTGGATTAAGAACTGATTCCTTGCTTAAATATGAGTGTTAAGCAGCCTCCTCACAGTGCTAGCTCAACCCCTAAACGTTGACACGAAAACAGTCCCTAGAACGGGTGTTTTCCGGCGAATTCGTTCCCTGACCTTTCAAGGTTTTGTCTAGGTTACTATCTAACATTTCCAAAAAATAAGGTACTCTTATATTAACATTTTATACACCTCAACCAGTGTACAATAATTCCTCAATTATTTTTATGATTTAGACAATAGAAAGGAAGGTTTTGGATTCGAACTTACTTTGAATACCAAAAACGTATTCTGCGAGGTTGCGTTCTGTTCGGATGATTTGGAGGCCTTAACCTGATCCGTTTTCTTCAAACCGTACGCCTATGGATTCCTCTCTTCGGCAGATTTCAGTGGACACCTCTCACGCCTCTCTTGAATGAGTATATCGTGAGATATGAGTCGCACAAGAAGGCCAACGCACTGGAAGTTCTCCCTGCGGACTGTTCTCCTTTCTCTTGCTTTCTTTGCTCTTGTGCGGCTCCTCTCTTCCCCTTATCTTTTGAGTTCGAATGAGGGGTGAGGGGGAGATATCTGGACGTTCTCAAAACGTTATCTAAACGTGTGGCTCCCAAAAATAAAAGGTTGGGTGGGATGATCCTCATATTTTATTTCTCTTTTGTATTGTTTGAGCTCTCAACTCAATAGGTCCTCCCCATTCATATTTTCTAACTCATTCTACCTGTTTTGCAGGTGTTAGGAAGGTGTGGGGCGTACTATCATGTTCCCTAATTAATTTGGGAGCAAAATATCTACCAATACATCCAAGAGTGGAAAGATGGGTTCTATCATTTTTGTCCTTTGTCATAAGATGTACTTTTGTACTCTCCCCAATTTATTCAGATCAAGTCAACCTCCTACTTCATATTATTGGTCTCTAATATGTGTAGTGTGGTCCCAATAATTTATTTGATGTACAATTACAAAAGAAAACCCTACTCCCATTATTCAGCCTAATAATGCCAAAGACGGGACCATAGACATTTGTATTCTTCTCCAATCATTCCATCATTCATTTATGATGTTAATATGTATATATATCTATATATATGTGCTACCAACCGTGTGGGTCACCCTTCAATGGGTCTAGGATGCCATTCTTGAATAATTACTATTTTTAGCAGGTTAGGCCCAAAATAACATTTGGGCTGCCCGACCGCTCTTACATTGTACCGATGAGTTGTATATCTTTATTTAAGGATGTTGGGCCCCAATATCAATGATATGGACCAATTAATTATTTAGAATCCCGTTACCATTGTATAATCCCAAAATAGTAATATGATAAATCATACGTTCCGTAAAACTTTAAGCATTTTACAATTGTTCGAAAATAGGAGACTTCAATACATAAGTTTTGAAATTAAATTTGAATTTCCAGGACGTTCGGGTGCGGTGTCACACATGCACTAACGAATCTAGAAATTTCAAGCGAAACCTTACATTCATTGTTTTTCCGGTTTGAGAGATTTTCCACTTCGAGGTTCACGATGAAGGAAAAGCAGCGGTTGGTGCTTTCGGGTATCGAATACGGTTTCGTTGGTGGATGACACGAAGGTGGAGATGGCATAGCAACCGGATCCTATCATCTGGGATTGGGCAGTTTAGGATATGAGAGGTCATCCGATGTCGATTGAGAACCACTTCACAAGAGTGACGAGAGATTGACGCGCATTCAATAGAACATATCAGCGTGTGGATGCCGGAGGATAGTGGTAGCCGCTTAACTGTTGTGTGGAAAGTGGAAGAGTTTTACAGTTTTACTAAACTTACCCTATTGATCGACATAATACGGAGTATAACCTTTAGTCAAATAGTGTTGGGATGGGTTTAAATGGAGGCTTTTCAAACGGGCTGATCCAAAGTCTGTAAATAATGAAGAAATAAATTTGAGTTTTTTACTAGGAAATGTACCGTACATGCGAAATTTAGAGATGCACCATAGAATTTTCCTTTTTACTAAGAAAAACTTTTAATAAATTAATGAAGTTCAAAAAATATGGAAATTTATTTATTTTAAAAAAACTAAAGTTACTTCTATGTAAAAACTTAGAGGCCGTTTTGTAACACTTAAATTGCCTAAATCGGTTGATTTTGTTAGAATTTATGAAGTTCTAGCTAAAGTGGCTAAATTGACTAATTCTACCGATTTATGAAAAACTATGTTTAAAATATATTTTAATTGTAAAATAAAGAAAAAATTATCTGAAAAATAGCTAAAATTTTTATCTACAGTCACTTCAGTAAAAATGATAACTGCAATCTTGCTTATTTTATTTATTACATAATTCAGCGCATGAAATAAAAAATTACGTGTCGATGAAAATGTTAGCTTATAAGCCAAAAAAATATGATCATCAAACACACTCTAAACATTATAGGCGGGAAGCTCGATGTTAGAAGGCTGATATGGATCGGCATAACTAGGATTACAATTGCATTTTCAAATTAAAATCGAGGCAAAGTGTTGTTAAAGAGTATTATTTTGATAATGAGTATACATATAAGTTGAAGTTGGAGAATTCAATCTCAAAAGAGAGCGATACTCACTGCACACAATAGGATACATAACATCTATGTTTTTCGCTCAAAACTAAAACTTTCAAGTTCTCAGTAAATTTAATTCGTTTAACGGATACCAAATGTGAGGTGATTAGAAAAATAATTTTTATCATGATAAAGTTTTCTAATTTTTTAATTGTGATTAAATAAACTGATAGTTATACATGATGTTCTTAATATTACATACTACATCCGTAACATAAAGATGTTCCCATTTCAAAAGTAGGTTGATTAAGAATGTGATAATGGAACAGTGTGATGGAATGAATGATAAATCATAGAACAAAAATTATCTAATATGATATGAGACAAACTTATTATGACGGGCGAAAAGTGAAAATAGGACAAAATCGGAGGGAGTATTACTTAAAGTATTTCGCCTTATTGAAGGAGGTTTTCTCGGGTAAATTTTCTCTTTCAGGTCAATTACTCCTTATTATATAATTAATTGTTTTTTAGAAATTACAAGAGATGTCCTTGTGCGTGTTTAGATAACTCGGTTGTGCTCTACTTGATTAATTTCAAGAATAGTTTAAGGATGACATTATGCACACGTGGACCCCCTGTTTCGCCTGCTTACACAAGCAATTCATCCAATAAATACAATTCATATATGTATAGTCATCATATCACTTGGTCATTATAAATAATTTACATTCAACTAATATATTTAAATCTTTAAAAGTGAAAAAATTCTTTGGCAAAATCATTTGTGTATCGAGCTGGTGAATTACTTACAAAGAATTTTACTAGAAGTATGGATTTTAAAAGCGGGTAGTGTGGGTCAAAAGGTATGAACTCTCAATCATTACATAGTACATTGAGATGTTAGCTTGCCACTCAATTTCAGATGCGATAATACCCAACATGACTTATCATGTCATGACAATAAATAAAAGTCAAAGACAGTCATGTGTTGGGTTGTTTGTTGAAAAACCTGTTGTAGTTATGATCGACTTTATGTGATTGTGTCAAAATTAACAAATCCCCGAGCATTACGAAATCACATCGCAAACTAGGATAGAAGAACGAACATTGAAATCCAAAATTGAACCTTTTTCTGAACCGAGAATGTTGTGTTTTCAAATTATATTTGTATTGCGTGCTACTCACTATTTTATGGGGCTATAAAAATGTGTATACTACACCATAATCATTGGTATATCGCATTAAATATATTTCATTTTATGTCAAACATTATAATTGTACGGAGTATAAATCCAAACGATTCGATTGAAATTACAAATTTCTTTTTTTAATTTCAAATTTAACTAAAACTGATTACATCTGTGAAATTTCATCAACCGTGCATCGCACGGGTGCTATACTAGTTGTTTTAATAGGAAACTGGTAAAAAATTTTGGGACAAAAAAAAAGGTGAAGTTAGCAAAATCTAATGGGATGGAGAGAGTATGAGACAATCTTAGTAGGATTTTTCGAAAATGAAAAATGGGATCATTTTAACGGGAAAGTGGGAGTACATTACAAAATTTACAGAGGAACGAACATTGAAAATAAAAATATTGCATGTGAAGAAGTGTTTCTTAATATTTATCATTGAATGCAATGCATTTTCAAATTATATTTATATTGCATGCGTGTTACTTGCTAATTTCTGGGACTAAAAATATTGGTGTACTACATCGTGATTATGGGTAAATTATTTGGAATGGATTTCATTTTATGTCAAACTTTATAATTGTATGAAGTATAATTTTAAACTATTCAATTATTATTACAAGTTTATTTTTAATTCCAAATTTGATTAAAGTTAATTACATGTGAAGTTTCACCGACCGTGCATCGTAGAGGTGTTTTATATCATGATTGTAAATAAAAGTCAAATGCAATCATCGCATGTTAGTTTGTTGTTGAAAAAACCATTTTTTGTCATGATCAATATTATGTGGTTGTGTCAAGAGTAACCAATCAAAAACTATGAGTCATTTGTTTATTTATCAAAATAATTAAAAAAGAAATATAAGGTAAAGAGATTAGCTGAGTCAAGTCAGCATGTTTTGTGATGAAACAATTTCTGTTGCTTCAAAAAGGAGGTGAGCACAATAGAAATCACTTGCGTGCATTGAGATTGAGACACTATTTTGCTAGATTTGTTTCTATTCGTGGAGTTGGGTGGTGAACACATTGAATGAAATTGAGTGTATCTTGGAGTGTATGTCTCCAAAATCCCGAGTTCCCCCACCCCCACGCCTCCCCCCCCCCCCCCAAATATTGCCTCAATACCATAATGCCCCCCTTGCTTTGCAAGTTTACAAAGGCAATTCTATGAAAAAATGCAATTCGTATAAATAATAGTTAGCATATTAGTTCGAGGTTGTCTAAAAAAAGTGCTTCATAACATCTAGCAACAAGTGTAATGTGTTTTAAAATTACTGATGGAGTATATGGCCCGGGAACCCCCGGCCCATAGACTCCTACTACTCCAATAAAGGCCTGATAGAGTATATCTAGAGAGAAGTGAGAGCTAGAGAGAGAAGTGCAGTAATATGCTTCAATAGAATGAATTTGTAACCCCTATAACTACTCCCAAGGGGAGTATTTATAGAGAAAATACGGGCTGGGCTCCCAAGCCTTGGGCTTGGGAGGCCCATTTACAACTGGACCGCTACTGGGCCGAATACAAAGCCACTAATGGGCTGTACAAATAAGTAAGTGTAGGATCCGGTTCTGTGGAGTCTTCGTGGCCGACGAGGGCGTGGCCGACGAGGGCACGGCCGACGAGGGCACCCGGGTTCCTTGGGCTCAGGACCATAATCTGAGTTGGCACCTTTTCGGCCGACGGGGGTCCCTTGGCCGACGAGGGCGCCACTCTGTGTCTTGTGCTTTCTGTTCTTCCGAGTATGTGGGTCCGGGGGCTCAGACCCATATACTCCATCAGGAGTCCCCCACTCTCTAAGCTGAGACGTAGACGA